CACTGAAGGAATTGAAATCAAGTACAAAACACCTGCTGGATAGATGTTGCAGCAAAATCTTTTTCATGCTTTTTACATTCCATAACTACACGCTATATACACTAACTCGAACATCGCAATATACAGTATTTATCAACTTACCAAGAACTCCAAAATAACGAAATCCAGAAGACCTTTCTTTGAGGAAATCAACCTCCTATTCAAATAGTATTGCTGTAGAAGAAAACAACTGACGTGGAAATTCGTCCTTGACTTTAGGCTTTGGCGCGGGAGGTCGTATTCCTATGAGCTCGAGCCGTCGACGCGCCTGTTCCTCGATCTGCTCTCGTGACGCTAGTCGAGCTAGACCTCGAATCCGCACTTCCTCTTGCAGTGCAATTTCTCGATCGCGCAATTCTCGTCTCTCAGCAATAAACCTTGAAAATTCACAAACAGTAATGAAAAGTAAACCACAACATTGCCAATACAAGTTCGATAGGGGATGTTCACTTCTTACCTGTTATACTTTTGCTCAGGTGTGGGACGCTGTCCGAAACTGTTTAGTTTCTCGAGTAATTCTGTGAGACGATCAACTCCGCTGGATTGTGTGCTCATCGGTGTTATGGAGCGAGAGCTGAAATCTTATGACCTTATATGACTTATTCTTCACAATCTAGCAGCGGGGAATTCGCGTGTGACTACCTTGATGGCTTCCCTGACTATGACTGCTGCTGACAGCATTCAAGCAAGGTAGGCAAAAACCATGATGCTTCATGTGGGCCCATCCACCCTCCTCTACGAGAAAATTCTATCTCAGCAGCAGTCAAAAAGTAGTCAAATATAAAGCTGTTCCGTAGTGGCTCGACTCCGTGTGCCGAAAACCCGAAAAAGGAGCAGTGTGCGACAAAACAGATAAAGCCACACCAATTGGAAACCTTATAGAGACAAAATTCTAGAGAATTCTGTCTACCTAGACGCTCGCGGTACCAGGTTTGTTACAATGTCTATGGTATCACATGCATGTCAGATTCGGCGATGTGCAATCGCGACAGCGACGCGGCGAAGAGCTACTGCGACAGCGCAACTGAGATTCAATGCGACTGCCAACCCGCGAAGTGGCTATTGCAAAGCACAATCACGTCTGGTGATGGCTCCGCCTGGAGTCTATATGGCCAGCGTCAGACTTTGCGAAACCGCTAGCGAATCGCGGCGTGCAAGCGATGCATCAGCGGTTTGAACGATGCGCCAGCGGATCGAATTATGCACCAGTGGATCGAACTACGCACCAGCGACTCGACAGTGTTTGAAAGTAGCGGGAGTCGCTCTCGCTCTTACGTTCACTCTTGCTACTTTCCCGGGCTCCTCATGCCCTCGCGCTCTCATGCCCCCTCGAGGGACTCCTGCCTTTTTTAAACCCTATCGATTCGCTGGTTCATGGGTGTGGTTCACTGGGACAGAAAGCGACTTTTTCGCGTTTCGCAGCGCGAAACATTTTTCGCTGCAGGAACCCAGGTCCACTCATGATCAGCGGTGGACCTGAGGTTCCCGCAGCGAAAAATGTTTCGCGCTGCGAAAGCGAAAAAGTCGCTTTCTGTCCTAGTGAACCACACCCCTGGCACACCGTTCAAACTGCTCGTGCCTAGTCGAACAATCGGTGCATCGCTCGTACCCCGGATTCGCAGTCTGACATCGGCCCACGGATTTTGACAGCAGAGCACGTGACGGACCCCTGCTGGTTGACTGCATCAATTGTGGGCGCACTTGTGCAATGAAGACTGCGCGATCGCGCTTTCGCTGTCGTGGTTGCAGTGTGCAAGCGCAAAAATGCGCACAGTCGCCGAGTCTGACATGCAACTCATCCTTTCCCTGAAGCAAAATGTTAATCGACAATGTTAAGGATGTTGGGAAAAACCGAAAACATGGGTTATGATAACAGCCAAGATTTTGACCTGCACCAGACACTATCATACAGTCTCATGAGCTATTTTGATCCGAGTATCCACTACCAATTCTTCCGCCAGTATACCATCACCTTCAGTAGTACTCGTTATTCTTGCTATGCGAGAATTATCACGTAAACCATCTCAAATTCGCTAACGCAGGGAGGAGTACTCTTGTTGTTAATATAGCAACCGGTTTGGTGTAATGGCTTGAGATATGACAAGTTTCCGAAAGATGATTTATATACCAACCGAGTGATTGATTAACATTAAAACAAGAGCTACGTCCCAGCAAAGACCGCAATTATTTCAAACCCACTTTTGAATTCCATCTCAAAACACGTTCTGCACTCATCCTATCTTGGCGTATTAATGCAACTGCAAGAAAGTCTGGAATAATTGACAAAGACTCTACGAGCCCTTGGACATTCATGGTGGCCGAGAAGAATGAGCCCGTGCCCTTGTCACGAGTTGTAATTTACTAACGAACTTTTTTGGAATCCATTTAAAATGTCGCACATTAAAATTTTTACAAGAAATGGTAGGTGTCACCTTGAGCATTTATGCGACCCTTCGAACGCACGATGAAAATCGACGGTGCATCGCCTCTTATTAAAGCAACAGTCCCAGCAGCTTTTTTTTTACCTTCGACACTAATGGTGTGAACGATGCGCTAGCCCTAGTCAAGAACACAACAAGTGTTGGAAAGCCGTTAGAAAGGCAGCCGAAGAGCTTCGAAGTGGGCGTGGTTGCCAATCTGCGAGGGAATTGCAGCCAATTGACAACCACGCCCACTTCGAAGCTGTTCAGCTCCCTTTCTAGCGGCTTTCTAAGGTGAGTTTTTGTTCAGTTGTTCTTGACTAGGGCTAGCGCATCGTTCCACACCATTAGCGTCGAAGGTAAAAACCCTGCTGGGACTGTTGCTTTGTGCAAATCATAGTAAAACGGAGTAGGAATAGGAAAATTTACGTCTATAAAAGTCCAAGGTCATAAATCCTATACACAAATTCAAGTATTTCGAAATCGGGGTTTGAGAAGCCATTAATATTTGCTAGAAGAGAAACGATCGTGCCAAAGTAAGACCATGGAGGTTTTCGTTCCGCAGAATAAACTAAATAATGAATTACTCACTCTTCGGTTTGCTTTCAATATCCCTTGCTTCAAAACGCCCTTAGCACACACAACATTGATTACCAACTTTCCACAGACAAAAAAGAGCTCCTTTAACAGATGTTCCACCCCTGACCACGACTCTTCGAAAAGGCATTCGTAAATTATCCTGCTCTCGTCTTAAACTGAGATGGACTTATCAGCTTTCGATCGTTTTGGGTATTTGAGCACGATCCATCGTGAAAAATGTCTCGCAAGCAAGGGGCACCTTCAAAATCTCCAGCATATGAACTTAGAATATGCTGTCGCTGCGAAGCCCTAGGGAAATCTTCCACATCGTGTTACCAGTTTCCGTAGATACTACGTTTTCTGCGATCAAAGCGTCCATTTCCAACAACCTTTTTTTTTTTTGAAAGGATTCCACAATAGGTCGGAGGCGGAAAAGATATCCCTAGTTAAAGGCAGCGCCCCGCCAAAATTGTGGAACGATGCACGTTTCGAAGCGAAAAATGTATTCAGCGGCCGAACAGGGCCACACCCGCAGCCGCCCGCTCACCCTCACGCCGTCTGATTCTAACGCTTGAGCAAGAGAGAGCGTTAGCCTTCAGGAGGGCAGCACCGATGAGAGTTGCGGAAATCAACAGCAAACAAGAGATTCCACTTCACGCGTTTCAGGCCGTTTCTGGTTTTTTTTCCTGCCTTTTAATCGCAAACTCAGCCCTTATGGAAAAATAAACCTTCTGGTGATGACTGAGAACGGTCTATACCGTCACTGCCTTCTTGCCCTTCTATCGACAGATAATACTCAGTGCAATTCGAAATGGAATTTTAGGCTAACGAGTATGGCAGAGCTCTCTTTGGCTATTACACAAGTCATGAGATCACTTTACGATGGTCAAGGGATCAATCAATCTTCACGGTCAATACACGGTCGAATGCTAACTGAATACAATCTTAAAGATGTCATCTTTAACAAAAGCATGAAAATCTTCCAAAAATGTGTAAACAATAAAGCAAAAAAAATTAGAGCAAGCATCCTAGAAAAATAGTTTCTTTTCAAGCCGCTCTATGTTTAAAAGCAGCATCAACGTTTATGGGCACCCCATGATGGGTATGGCTCGTTAGGACAAAAATGACTTTTCCGCTTTCCGGAACGCGAAACATTTTTTGCAGCGGGAACTCCATGTCTACTTCAGATCAGTACTGGACAAGGGGTAAAAGCTTCGCTCTGCAAAAAGCGGAGGAGTCGCTTCCTGTCCTAGCAACCACACCCTCCCATGATTGTTCCCTCATATGAGCCACACATCAACTAAAACTTCTACATATTTGAAAAAAAAAACTACCTCTGTCGTTCAATAGCTCCAGAAGCGTCATCGGTGATGACAGATCCAGACAAAGATGCAGCGTTGTCACCATCTTCACTGAAATAAGAATAATTGCAGCTGAAAGCCGTGCTATTAAAAATGAAAACAAATATATTGGCTAGCTGAAAGCGAAAAACGAAGTTTCAGAGCTCACCAACCTTGGCTGCTCCGAGGACGATTGCCTTTCGATTGACCTGACAGCATCACCTGGGAGATTTGTCGAATCTGCACTTCTTCGGCTTGCTTGATTTCTGCTTTCCATATTTATCCAAAACATTGCGGACTCTTCTGATACCATCATAATCATCAATTACTCCGCCTCGTAGTTCGGAAAGGCCTGCGATATTCTTTTCAACAGTAAAAAGATCCAAGCCAGAATTAAGCCAAAAGATGGTGAACATTTAACTCGATGGAAGTGAAATAACACAGAAATATCCTTCAGCAATGAATCAGAAAATAAAATTTTTAGAGCTAACCTTCTTTTATCAACCTTTTCAATCACAGAAGAAGCAAGATCATCTCGAGAAGGGTACGTGACAGCATTGCCTCCCATCTTTTCGATCATATCCAACAAATAATCCCGTGCCACTAAGTTCACATTTGAACTCTAAAATCCTCCACTTTTTCGAAGTAAACAAGAAAGTGGAACAAGCACTCACCATTCCTCCTGCGACTCCGTTGCTTTTTGTGCCCTCGACCCGCATGCGAGCTATCGTCTTCTCTATGGCTGACGAATGCGCTGGACCCACCGCCTTCCCTTTGGAAATTTTCGATTTCCGACGCTGCCATGGATCACTTCGGGGTGACGGTGTTTCTGACAAAGCCAGCACTTATCAAAGAAATGAAAAAGCGAAAAAGGAAACAAGAACATGATCATGTGGAATAAACTAATTCTATTACATTCTTCACATTCAAACCGTTTTTGATACCGTCTTCCGAAAAACTTCTTTACCTAGGGTTTCGCTTGTTATCGATGGCAGCTGAGCACGTTTATAGTGGTTGTAACTACCACATATGTTCATGCGGTGAAAGTGCGATAACAGCATTAGTGTCTCTTTCTCCGGGATAAGCAAAGCGAAAAAGTAGCAACTAATACCGAAACGAAAGTAGCAACTAATACCGAAACGATGCCCATGTGGAGTTCCTTGCCGACTAATGCTATCTTCAGGTGCAGGTGACGATGTGCTCACTTGGTCTCCTGGAGTTCTGCCTAAACTCATTTCGCATAGATGCTTCGGAATAACTGTAGAAGGGCAACTACTCGAGGAAAATTTTTAAAATTCACCATCAATGCAAATGGATGTGGACGAGTTGGATCGAGCTGGACTTGCTATCGACGATAAAGACGTCACCTAAGAATGCGTTGTTCGACAATGATTACAAATTATTTCCTGTTTTATTGAATTATTTTCGACTCTCACCTGATCCCTTGCGTTTTCAATAGATTTTCTGCTTGCTGCTAAAGATCCTTTTGGGGTGTGACATATTTCGGCTACAATTTCAACATCCTGAAACAAAAGAAAATTTAAGCACCGTCATTTTACTTTGGAGCTAACATCTCAGTTTATTTATTTAATCCCAGCTTGGTTTCACACGAGTGCGCGGCTTTTGGCTCGTCCGTGGTGCACGCGACGAAATTCGCGGCGAGCTCACACAGTCATGCGTGTATGAAACGGGGATCCAGCACAGCGAACAGATTGGCCCAAATTTCTGATTTAGACTCCCGCTTAACTTGGTGCACACTCTCTTCTTCCCCTCCTCTCACCGCTGCCATTTCACTATTACTTTCAATTAGTACCTATATGCGAATCCTGCATATTACTTCCACCCACCTCGGTTAGCCTTCTCCCAACAACACCACTTCACCTTCTCTCCACTTCCCTAGCTCCAATTCTTTTTCCTTCGGTATGTGGACTGTTGCGGAACTAAGATAAAAGATGTTGTGAGAATCTCGCCCCCCCCCCTTGGAGGAGGCCCCATCCGAGCTACTTGAACGATCCATCCAAAAC